AGAGAGAGAGAGAGAGAGAGAGAGAGAGAGAGAGACTGCTTGGTTTTGGATTCTAGCCTTTTTTCAGTCAGTCCTAGAGCCAGCCCATTTTGCCCCTCCTAAGGATGGGTCTGGCCAAATGAACTCTTTTTTTGTGGAAGCTAGTTCAAGTTTGGTTGAAACCAAAGTATCCTGATGAGCACATTCTACTTGCTCTAGTTTCTACTCCCTCATAACATTGTGCCTGTGGTTTTTGCCTGTTTAGGCCTCCAGATCTGCTTCATGAGATCTGGAGTCTGAAGATGGAGGGTTGAATCCCAGTTTCTCTACCAACAAACAATGCTGCCTTGAGCAAGTACTTTACCTCCTCAAACTTGTTGAATCAGATTTTATTCCTACAAGGGGTATTATAAGAATTATACAAGATAATGCATGCAACACAAATGCTTAGTGCAACACAAATTTAGCTTAGCATTCAATAAATGGTAGCTATGATTATTATCATTCAACTCACCTTGCCAACTAACCACAATTTATTGATGCCATGAGATATCTGCTGGCCTAAGCCATTATATATCACCAGGCCACATAACTTATGCACCACTGATAACTTGTGGATAAGTCTCCCTAGGGATAGAAGTCTATCTCAGACCCTTAAGTTTCAACTTTGGGTTGGATTTCAGCAAAGGTTAGGAATTGTATGGTGGCCTGTACACAGTGGTATGCCAGTAATTAACAACCAGCACTCTAAAACAAAAACAAACAAAAAAACCAACAACAATAAAAGTTTTTGCCAATTTTCATGGTGTAAATACTCCCACCATGGCTGATTTCAAGCTACCAATGTAATGTCACTGAATGCAGAGCTGGGAAGAATGGGTGCAATGGGCCCTCATGAGCTAGAGCCGGCCAGCTCCAGCACACCACTGCCTGTGCAGGTAGAATTTCTCCAAGAAGGGGGTACAGCCAGGGAACACATTCCAAAACCTGTCTTCTAGAGCAGCAGTCGCCAACTGTTGGTCCGTGAGGTTCGAAAGGTTGGCGATTGCTGTCCTATTTATAGCATTGACTAAAGTGGCAGTCACATATCTTAGGTTGGGTTCTCTTGAAGTAAAAGGGATTTTTTTAGTTGTTAATTATTTAAATTTATTTTATTGTTGAGAGTATTAACAGATGTCCCCCATTTTCCCTCTTTGCCCCCCTCCACCCATGGGCTATGACTAATTTGTACTTCTTAATCCCTTCACCTTTTTCACCCTTCCCACTCACCCCCCTCCCATCTGGAAAAGATTCTTGTAGAAATGATTTATTGAGGGACTTCTCAAGGTGAAACCTGTTAAGAAATGAGGGGTGCAGACTAGAACAGGAGAGAAAGATGAGCAAAAAATGTGAGTTCTGCTGAGGTCTAGCCTCAACCTGATCCCATAGAGAGCTCTGGAGCATGAATACTCCCACAGAGTTGAGGCAAGGGATCAGGGGTTTGTACATCCCAGATAGTCAGTCACTGGGTGCAGGATGCCTTCAGAGTGGAACTTCCAGGCATTTCCTAGCAAGGAAGTTCTGTTGGCTGAGGGGAATTCTCAGGAGAATGGAGTAGCTGTGACCTGTGAGTAACCAACTCTTACAGCAGCTAGGGGGTGATGATATCAGCCTGACGAAGGTCACCCGGGTGGGACCCCTAATCATTTACTATGTAGCACTAACAATACTGATGATAATTTCATGGTGAAGATGATAGAGATGGAGATGATAGAAGTGGTAACGGTGGTAGTGGTGATGGTGATGGTGGTAGTGGTGGTTTCACTGCTGTTGGCAACAATGGACTTGGTTGGGTTGGTGGTGGCATTGATGGTGGTTGGTGACATGGTGATAATAATGGTGGTGTGACAGTAGTGTGATAAATTGTGGTGGTGATGGGGTGCTTCTGAGGGTGATGATGAATGACTATGACAAAGATGTTGGTTATTGAAATCCCTATTTCTTCAAGGTTTGCCTCTTGGTTTTAAGCTTTATATTTCTACAATGGGGAACTAAACGACTTAGAATTTTATCTTGTTAAGACTAGTGGTTGAAGACATGAATGATAGAGTTGAAATACATTCACTTCACCAATGATGTCCTCCTGGATGTATTTTTTTTTTAAACAATGCACACATTCCCCGGGGCTGCAATTGACTCTAAGTGCCACTATATGTCATGGTTCACTGTGAAACGTAGGGACATGGTCACTTCAGACTTTTTAGCCCGTCATGAGCAGAGTTTAACACCCAGCATTATGTCAGCAGTTCTGGAGATGGCTGGAGTGGAGCCATCCTGCACTTAACATGGGATTGTTGTTTTCAGCTGCAGATCCTGCTCGGGAGGCGAGGGCAGAGTGACTGTGATGTCAGAAAGCAGTTCAGCATGCTGGTGGCGAGTGTATCAAGGAAGAGTCGGTACGGCGGAGTCTCTTTATCTCTCTCAGTATCTGCTTAGATCTCGCCCTCCCTGACCTTCCCCGTCCCCAGAGTGCAATGGTGAGGCAGGAGGGGGCATTCACTTTCCACTCCAAGCACCTGTCACATTATCTTTTCAACAAAATAGCTCCCTGCCTATGAGGTATGCAGGGATACATGTAAAGTTCATTCACTCGTTCAATAACTATGCACTGAGCATTCACTATGAGCCGTGCCCCAGAAGAGGTGCAGGGGGTATAACAGTGGGAAAAGACAAAAATCCCTGTCCTCAGGGGCTTCCATTCTCGTGGTTTTAAACATGTCTCATTGTCGTCACTCACAGAGGAGGAAATCGACTTGACCAAGGACAGATAGTAAAGGGCAGTGCTAAGATTTTAACTAAAGCCAGCCAGTTCTCCAAACCCAGACCCTTGACTGATTCTATATGATCTGCAGTGGGCATTTTGTTGCTGTTTTGTTTTTACCACCCAACCCCCTCTTGCCATTCTTCTGGTACTCGAACTTTTGGGTTGCTTCAGGAAAGCCACTCTTGCCAATACCATCTAGAAAGACCGTCAGTCAAGGCATCCTGCCCTCTAACTGTGTAGAGGACTCATGACCTATCTATATCATCCCAATGCTGGTTCCTTGCTACCCAGGCCTCCCGAAATTATGGTTCCAAGTTAGTGTTTCAGCCTTGCCTGCAATTCTGTGAGCCATCTCATATTCTTCCCCAATATTTTTTTCTTCAGTTATTACTTCTGTTGCATGCAACCAAATAACAGGACTGACCCATGTTCACTCCACCTTCAGGACTTCAAGCAAGTTTTGTTGTCTGATAAGTAGGAGGGACAATATCTGCGTTGCAGGAAGCAGGAGGAAGGGTCTTATTTCCTTGAACCAGGCCTGGCCAATATCCCTGGTTTCTAGCACCTTCTTCATACCCTGCACTCACCTTCCTTCTCCCGGGAGAAGCTTCCCCATTCTTTACTGGAGCTGCCAGACATACAGATGCTGCACACTCAGCAAAAGCTGTGCAGGCACCTGAGCTATATTTGGGCTTCCCTGAGAACACAGACGCAGCCTCCTGTGCCCTGGCTGGCCGAGGAGAGTGTAATTAATGGTACTCTTCTTCAGAGCATGGACAGAACAGGTGATGGCTCAGCAAGTTCAGAATCACAGCCACAGCCAATCCCTCCTCCCCAGGTCTATTTTTGGATCACCACAGGTGCTTATTAAGGTCATGTGTCAGGGCTACAGGGAGAGAAGAGGCTTTTCTTGGAGCACTTGTCAGTTAGAATTGCATGGAGTTGCATGTAACCAGATAAAGCCTTATTTCTCTCATGTAACTAGAAGTCTAGGGATAAGCAGTTAAGGCTGGTTCAGAGGCTCAAAGAATTCATTAAGGACTGAAGCTATTTCTATCTTCCTGTTCTATTATTCTTAGCAGGTGGCTTGTACCCTCATAGTCACAAGATGGCTGCTCCACTTCCAGAAATCTCACCTACATCCCAGGTAGGAATGAAAGCAAAGGCAATGAGAAAGGGCACAAGCCTGCTGAGTTTCCCCACCCCTTCGTATGAGGAAGACAATAGATTCTCAGGAAGCCCTATCCAATTTCCACTTACATCTCAATGGTCAAAACAGGTCAGAGGACCACCCCTAGGACAAGAGATATAGGTAGGTGTTTTTAACTGGGCACATTTTATCCAGACAGAGTTGGGATTTTGTTACTAAATAAGAAAGGGAAAATAGACACTGGTTAAGCAGCTAGTAGTGTCTGTTGCCAAAGCTGAGAAACAGAATGGATCATTGTGCAGGAACCCTCTAAGGGGCTGAGTCTTTGTCCTAACCCTGTATGGTGAAAGTAGTTAACTGCCTCATTCTTATTATTATTCATTTTATTTAGCAAAAGAATAAAAAATAAAAAAGAATAATGTGTAGTTTGATCCTGTTTTTGTTAAAAATTATGTATATATCTTTATACATGTAATGATTGTGATATAAGTTTGTGTGTATATGTATATTTGTGTGTACGCTCATATGTTCACCAAACGGGTGGTGGAATTGGAGGTGATTTTTTTTGCTGTCCTTTTTGTATTTCTCTAACTTGTTTATGATGTGCATGTACCATTTTTTACAAAAGAATGCTGAACTTTCTGGTCAAGAGGGCTGATAAAGAACATCTGTTTATCTCTCCTCCCTCCAAACATCTCATTGAAATAACAAAAGGCACATTTCAAAGTACTAATGAAAACTATCAAAAGAATAATAAGACCTAGTCTAGGAATTATGAGGTCTAAAATCTGGCACATAGCACTTGATGATTATTTTTTGCATTCCGCATCCACTTGTAACTCTAGAGCAGCGGTTCTCAACTTGCAGGTCGCGACCCCTTTGGGGGTCGAATGACCCTTTCACAGGGGTCGCCTAAGACCATCGGAAAACACATATATAATTACATATTGTTTTTGTGATGAATCACTATGCTTTAATTATGTTCAATTTGTAACAATGAAAATACATCCTGCATATCAGATATTTACATTACGATTCATAACAGTAGCAACATTACAGTTATGAAGTAGCAACGAAAATAATTTTATGGTTGGGGTCACCACAACATGAGCAACTGTATTAAAGGGTCGCAGCATTAGGAAGGTTGAGAACCACTGCTCTAGAGAGAACATTAAGACAGAGGCTTTTAACCCTTCTTGGGCCACGGACCCCTTTGCAGTCTGATGAAGTCTGTGGACCTCTTCTCAGCATAATGCAGGGCAAGGTTTATAGTTGCAAGGACAAGAAACAGTTTATTCTTGCATTATTATTTATTAATCATTGTATAAAAATAATAAATAAGTAGTTTATATTATTTGGAGGGCCATGAACTTTGTAAATCATATTATTTATTTGTATTATAACTGTTAGCCTACTTTTGCCCTGGCCTGTATTTTTAAATGAATAAACTCCCGTACATAGGATTTTAAAAGATATCATTTGTATTGAAATGCAGTTATCAAAATATTTAAAAACAAATCTGTCATATAGTAACATATGGGCTTCTATATTAGGAGATTTAGCAGTGTGTCTAATAACTACTATAATTTCCAAGTCGTGATGAGCATAAGTGATATTTTGAGATAACTTGAACCATGGCATTGTGACAGGAGAGTATCTGTTTTCTGTTGGTGAAGAAACCACAGGAATTGCTAATATGACTATGGTTTGTTGCTAATGTTCATACGCGAAGGAAATGCTGAATTTAAATTGAACTTGGTGAAAACTGAGATCATTTTTCTCATCCAACTTTATGGTTCTCCAAATTTAACAAAATATGTGTTCTCATAGATCTTTGCTTAAATCTGCTTATCTGTTTGGCCTCTTTTTCGTCTCCATCTTTCCTCAAATGTGTGATGATCCTGGGCTGTCACACAGAGCAAAGGGTGGGACCTGGACTACAGTTCATGGAAAGCGTGTGCATGTGAGGAGCCCTGGTGTCCATGAGCGTTGGTGGGACTCTCCATTAGAGAGGCTTTTTAGGTCTTTCCTCCTGAGCTGGTCAAATTCTGCAGGGAGGGCTCTTCTAGCTTCTTTCGAGCAGAGTGTAACCCTCCCTGCCAGCGTCCTGGAATCTAGGTGGGGATGAAAGCCTGAGAGGAGGAGGCAGGGCAGGGCATCAGTCATCATAGGTACCTTTTCACTTAATCTCTCTGCTTTCGGGGCAATCTGTGGTGTCTCCCAGTCTAGATGCCCTCCTGTTATCTCTACAGCTGTGCCATCCAATACTGCAGCCTCTGCCACATGCAGCTATTTAAATGTAAATTAATTAAATGGAAATAAAATTTATTTAATTAATGAAACTTTCAGGTCCTTAGCCACATGCACTAGTATTTGATAGCCACATGGAGCTAGTGGCCGGTTACTGCATTGGACAACGCATGACATTTCTAGCACATATCTCTGTACAGGGCCAGATCATAAATATTTTTGGCTTTGCATGCCATATGGTCACCATTGCGTCTACTCAACTATGTCATTGTAGCGTGAAAGCAGCCATCGGCAACACATGGGACACGCACTAGAACACATGGCCGTGTTCCAAGAAAACTTTATTTGACACAGAAGTCTGAATTTCATATCATTATCATGTGTCACAAATATTATTTTTCTTTTGATTTCCCCCCCAACCATGTGGGAAAGTCAAACTATTCTTAGCTTATAGACTGTACATAAACAGGCAGCAAGCTAGATTTAGCCTTGGACTATAGTGTGCTACCACTGTCTTTATTTATTTATTTATTTTTAAACATATTTTTATTGATTTCAGAGAGGAAGGGAGAGAGATAGAAACATCAAAGAAAGAGGCTGCCTCCTGCACGCCCCCTACTGGGGATCGAGCCCGCAACCTGGGCATGTGCCCTTGACCGGAA